TATATGAGAGAGAATATTATATTATATTAATACTATTTTTTTATAATATTATTATTGTTTTTTTTTTTTGCATTTTGATATTTAATTTATAATAGTTTACATAATTTACAATTACACATCTTGTTTATACGGACTTCTTCCATGTAAACACGATATAAAAAATTCATGTAAACATAATTTTGAAATATGCGACACAACCCTGGTTTCGCCCCTCCAGGTTACGCAATGCGGGATCTATCGCGCATCTGCATCTGTCAGTCGCCGTTGGTCGGTTCACGGACGGACCAATTCAGCCAATTTACTCGCGATTCCCCCGGCGCTGCTACAATAGATCGCCGACGAGGCTTGTCGCCTGGTGTTTTTCGTCTTCGACGAGAACTGAGATCGTCGCGGAATGCCAGACGCCTCGAACTAAATACGCGTCACTTAAGACGAGAACTTTGCCCACCCGCGCGTGTTATTGTCACAACTCGTCCATAAAAAGCATCCCCCTCCTCCCGCATACACAGGGATATTGAAGCCTTGTCCTCGGCTTTCTTTGAAATCGCCCGTATCCTACCGATTAGGAAAAATTAATTCCTCTCGATAAAGAATAAAAGTATCTCACCCGGCTATAATGTTTATTTATATAGTGTTATGCGCATTCTCTGCAATGTCGATTATCTTTTCCTCTATTTTTGTATGACGTCTTTGTACGTAAAAAAACAAAAATTAGGAATATTGTTTGAATTCTTAATATGTTAATTTTTAATTATCTGGAACATAATTTAAAGTTGAGAAAATATGACAATACAAGAAAAAATTTTTTCTTATATATATATGTATGTATGTATGTATGTATCGTATTAATATAAAAATAATATTAAAATTTTAGTTTTATATTATCTATATTGAGATCTGATGCAACTCTACGTTACGAATACAGAGTCAAAACTAATGATCACAAATAATAAAGAAATGGAAATTAATTTCTCTGCAACACATTTACAATTCAGAGAGACTGTTCCTGACGTTATGTTGAAATAAACGGTTACACAATTGAGCTTGATTATATATCTCTTCACTGAAACATGACTATATGACGAGGAACGTATATGACACGGCTATAATAATACTACGTAAATGCGCATAAAACGGCTCGTAAACTGCATCGATCGAAAGTAGTCCCACGAGCGTCTCGCTCAATATCGGAATCTTGACGCGATATCCCTCGCCGATAAAACCGGAAGTCGAAAACGGACCCCCGCGATTCGTCTGGTTGCACGAAAAGGGGGCGAGAGAATGAAAGAGGTGGATATCCTTCGGTTGTCACCCGGCACACACACCCCCTCCGCCGTCCCCCTTCCATACGGAGGTTCGCCACATGTAGGTTCTGGGCACGGAAGGCCAGAGGGGGGAAAAGTCATCGCGGGGATCCAGCTGATGGTCGACGCGTTGGTCGGGCTTCCTCAGTTACTGTTGGACCACGCGCTGGCCCGGATTGCGTCTACGTCTCGCTGGCCAAATCCGGCCGGACAATTGCCGGAATTTGGCGGGGGTCCAAGCAACATACCAGCGACTTCTTGGACTTGTTGGACCGCTGGATCGCGAGAAATCTGCGGAAACCGAACGCGGAGGTGAGCAAAGGTGAGACATGATCGCAAACGCGAATATTTTACCACTCGTTAATTAATTAACGGTACGGGAATTGGATAACGGATGTTCGAGGATAATGGATAATATTTTTTTTTCCTTGCCGAAATGTAGAATTACGTTTACGGTACTGGTAAAATGTCTGGTTGCTTGCGCGAAATTATTGTGGATACAAGCAATTTTATTGGATTTTATCTATTGATGAATAAATTATTTTTTAGTTAGTTAATTAGTATTCATTAATCATATCTGTTTCACAACCATAAGTATTATTTGTAAATATATTCACATTATTCATCTATATCAATTATCCATGTAATTAGCTATTGTAATTGATTATAATTGATCGTATAAAATGAGAAATGACTCGATTGCGATGTCACGATTGGGTCGTGTTAGATCGTTGAACTTCGCGCTGATTAAAGTGACGCAGGGGTGACGCAAAATCTGGCGATGGGGATGGGCATCCTTAGTAACAGTGTAATGCCGTTCGAGTATTGATTTCAGACACAAGGTTTAGGGTAGCGTTACATGTGTCTACAACACGTCCTGCAAACATCGGTCATACTCGATATATAAACCCTCTCTAGGATTTTCTTTTGCACGATTGCAAGCCAATATAGTATAATTAAAATACACGGCATTGAAGAATGCAAAGTAAAATAATTCTTTACTAATTTGTTCTCTTTTCATAAAATATCTGCAACGTTCTCTGCCGTTTCTAATAGTCAATAAATTGATTATTTTTAATTATAAATTATCAAAAATGAATTATTTAATATTTATTAAAAAAAATTTATTTAAAAAAATTTAGCAATTTTTCTGGGATTTTCTTTATTATAATAAAGCGACGAAGCCGTAATTTTCCACGATCACGGAGAGTCCCAACAAAGCAATAATCGAATCACTCGATCGCGGGCTTTCCAGATGATACCGGATACAGAGGCGGTGTGCCAGACTTCCGAGGCTGCGGTTGACAATGGCGGCGATATGTACGAGAAGATCAAGGACCGAGCGGAAAAGGAAGTGGCATCGGTCACCGCCTGGAAGCGATATCAGCGACTGGTGGCCGCGATGGAATCCCGGGGCGGCGAGTTCAACCGGAAGTCCCTGATCGAGGCGATCTTCCGCGGCAGCGATCTCGTCTATGCTAATCATTGATCGGCGGATCAATCGAATCTCTCGTGCAATCCTGTCGATTGACACCAAAGTGCCAGTATCAAATCGCAGTGACGTAAAACTTACGTGGTCGCAAAGATCGAGAAGAAACGCGACACTCTTTAAATCTTCTCATGTTCGAGCATCTGAATACTTTTACGAGTGTACGAAAATGATATTTACATTGATCCTTTATAGAACGAAATGTAACAATAGATTACAGGAAATTATTTTATAAATCTCTATAAAGGATTAATAGCTGCTAAACTCATTAGAAGATAGCGATTATTCATGCAATCAATTGTCGTTCAATGATTAATGTTCATTAAGGGCCCAATCTACTCTAGCAGTATTAAAAATTGATTATTCTTAGGAATTTTTGAAGAATATTAGAAATTGATCTTTTTGCTGTTTTACACGTGTTTTTATTGATATAAACAGTAGTTTAAACAGTATGTCAGTATTTTTAAATCATGGATATTTAGCTCTTTTTTTGTTCAATACGAGTAGATATCATTATATTCAGTAATTGTTTGAATGAAAAAGCTCGATCTAGTTTTATTCCGTAAGATTTTTTTTGGAATACTGAATCTAATTTTATTAGAAAAAAATTGAAAAATAAAGTAATATCATTTTAATATTAGATATTTCAATTTTGCTGAAATTTTTTCATTTTTTGAGGGAGACAGAAAAATATTAAATATTAATTTTTTAAATTCTAATTAGATTCAGTATCCTTCAAAAAAGTGTTCTTTTTTATTTAAAAAAAAAAGTTGAAGTTATTCGATCCATTAGTTTTGAAAATATCCACCATACCAACTTTGAAAACAGAGTTTCGAGAAAAACTTTAAAGTTCCGCAGGTCCATTTCAAGATCCGCGCGCCATCCTATTTTTATAATTAAAATTTGAAACATATTCTTCATACTTTCAGAAAATATAAAAAAAGAGAAATCGATTTTTTTCTCTCTCTTTAAAGTAGATTGGGCCCTTAATTAAATTTTTATCCGTAAGTGGACGTATACGCCAGCCTATATACATTCTTATTATTTTTCGATGTAATAAAAATTGTTATAACGTGATGACATAATTGTTATAACGTGATTGAAAGTAGGACGTAAAAGCGTAGTTTAACACGGGTAAAATGTGGCTGTGTATCATAGTTCAATGTTGCGAGCGCACTATTTATAGATTTTTAGTGTGAGAAGAATTTACTGGTTCCGGGAGGCGAATGCTTACATGTAAAACGAGTATCATTACATATATACGGGTGTCCTTGGAGAAGAACAAACGCAGCCAAGTCTTCCTAAGACACTTATATGCGTTCTCATTAACGTCTAAATCTAAATTGCATTAACAAGTCAAGCAAGTTATTATGATCTGTATCTGATATATTTTTGAGTAGAAATGAAACTGAATCACTTTATAATGAGAGCGAATATATGTATATATGTATGTACAGGGTGTCACATAAAATCCGCCCACTAAGTACATAGCGTTATTCCTTACCAAAAAATGAGTCGAAAAGTCCTGAATCATTTTTTTTCTGTAATACTTAATAAAGGAGTAATTATTGAGTAAATTCAGGCCAATCAACGCCTATCTTTAGCCGGGCGCGCGGCTCATTGACGTGCTAAAGGCCGGTGCTGATTGGCCTGACTTTACTCAATAATTACTCCTTTATTAAATGTTATAGAAAAAAATGATTCAGAACTTTTCGATTCATTTTTTGATAAGGAATAATGCTATATACTTAGTGGGCGGTCTTTAAGTGACACCCTGTATATAGACATAACGAGGAAGACGAAAAATAGCGTGAGTGCCCTCGAGATGTGAATCTTTCAAAATCTAAAAAACACTAGAGAGCTTCGCGAGCGTCCACTTTTCGAAAAAAAATATTTCCAGCGCCCGATTACTTATGCGACTGACAATTCGCGAATTTGAGTTAACGCGAGCGATCCCACCGCGTTTCTACGCCACTGGCTAACGCAATCGTTAGATAGAGATACGATCAACAATGCCAAACCGTATATTACTAGTCAATGTGTGCATAATAAATCGCAGATAGAGTAAGATAGTTTGTTTAATTAGGCAATTATGGCAACGACGACGATTACGGCGTCTCTATCACGCGACAGATGACGGAGGGCGTGCCTGTAATCTATTACATGAGCTCATGCGATGCATTGGCTATGCTCGATCTTGCCAGTAACACTCGTTACGTATGTAAAAAAGAAAACGATACGCGAGAGACCAAAGTTAATTAATTATGTAAACGTAAAACGATTACATTGTCGTCAATCAAGATAAGAAATTGAGACGTAATTGAACGATATGTAGATACACAAGTATCTATTCATCGTTTAAAGTCTACGAATAAGAAACAAATTGAATAAATTTAATAGAGCAAATTATATACATATTTATCTCAAATTTCAGCGTTGTATTCTGTTACCGATCATTATGATAAGCTTGAATTTTTTTGTCACACATCTTCAAGCGAAGATATTAGATTTCGGGGATGGAGCAGAAACTTGAGATATCAAATTTTTTAATACTTTGCCAACTTTTTTTAAGCCTTGCCATGTCAAATGAGATGAAGAGGCAATTGCTGAAGCTTTTCTTACGCATAAACCCAAAAGTAAAATATATTTGCAATTAATTTATACACAATCCGATCGCCGTTTTTCTGCGACGCTCATATAATTGTATACACATAATCGCTACATTAAATATTACGATACAAATATACAAAATATGTACAAGTAACATTCATATAATCGACTCTTCGTCCGAGAAACAAATCCGCTACGTATTTTACAGCAGCCTTTATACAAAAATAAGCACGTAACGCTGTGCGCGTGCGTCTACGATAATTACATTTACATTCGTCCGTAAATCATCGATGACAGTTTGGAATGAATAAGTCGCGAGGTAGGAAATGCGACGCGTTTAGAAAAACATGTTTACGTATAAGATTGAAATTTCATATCACAAGAACGAGAAAAAGACAGTTTTTCTTGAAAACATGTGCTGGATATTAATAATTCATATTAATCATTTTCTTCTATTACATTAAGGGACCAGTCTACTCTAACAGTATGAAAAATTGATAATTTTTAAGAATATCTTTTTAAAAATATCAGAAATCGATCTTTTCGGCGTTTTACATATGTTTTTATTGATTGATGTTTAAACAACACGTCAGTATTTTTAAATCTTGGATATTTAGATTTTTTTTTTGTCAATGCATGGTGACATGCTGCCCCTCGTGTAATTGTCTTAAATGAAAAACTCGGTCGAGTTTTATTCTCTAAGATATTTTTGGAATACTAAATCTGATTTCATTAGAAAAAGTTAAAAAGTAATAAAGTAGTGTCATTTTAAAATTAGATACTTTAATTTTGCTGAAATTTATTCATTTTTTAAATGTTAGAAAAATAATAATGATTAATTTTTAAAATTCTGGTTAGGTTCAGTATCCCCCAAAAAAGTGTTCTGTTTTATTTAAAAAAAAAAAATGAAGTTATTCTCCTCAGTTCTGTGTTTCGAGAAAAACGTTTTTAAAGTTTTGCAGGCCCATTTGAAGACCCGCGCGCTATCCTATTCTTAAAATTCCGTTTTGCGAATTTTTCAATAAAATTTGAAAGATATATTCTTCAGACATCATTCTTTCAGAAAATGTAAAAAAAAAAATCGATCTTTTTTTTTGACTCTCTAAAATAGACCGGGCCCTTAATATTTATATATCGATTATTTTTTCTATTATATTAATAAATTAATGATTGTCATATGAATCTAAATATTTGAATTCAATTCTTTAGAATTCTATTATATTGTGACATTTTTAAAATCGCGCATACGCACACACAACGAAAGTACTCTTTGCTCTGGATAAGGGTGATAACGCTTACCGCTCGCAGTGAAAGAAATTTCGATGATTTACGAACATGTCGCTGCTATATCACAAGGACAAACGATACAGTCTTTCTAAACATATTGCGTTGTATATAGATCTCATATGAATTCGGTGACAAAAATCTTCTTGAAGTCGGGCGCCGAGCCGCCGATGTCGTGTTTGCATATATCGCCGTTGTCGAGATAGCTCACGTCCGAGTTCTTCAGGATACTCTTCAGGCTCTCCATCGAGAGATTCGGCAGCTTCTTGGTGGCGGTCAGTTTATCCAGGTCGTTCATCGAGTAACCGAGCCCGATCTTTTTAGCTTTCAGCTGATAGGACTGTATGCTGGGTTTTGTGTCGGCCAGTCTCGCGTTGCCACCGCGCTTCTTGCATTCCTCGCGATCCTCCGCGCCGTTCTCTATGATACGCGGCGTGAAAGATCGCATGTTGACCTTTACCTCCCCGCCGGTACGCTTCGAGGGCAGTAGCTCCACCTGCAAACCAGGACGTTCTCACGATTCTTGCAAGATTACGTAAGTAACGCGCGCCTTTATCGTCGCGAAAAGGCCGACGAAACGCTATGTCAGCGACGAGCGTTTTTCTCAATCTAGTCGATGCATTTTCTCGCGTCGTGAAAGTGCCTCCGGCTCACTTTGTATCCTCTCGCATTTAACATTAGAACGACCCATGAACTGATGGTTATTTCGATCGGCGATTGCTTATTTCGATTGATTATTTTTCTCGCAGAAACTAAGATGATATAAAAACAGACAAGTCGCGCCGAATAAATAATGATATCATACTTAATTAATTTTAAAACTGCTAAAAACATCGTTGAAAATTTACAGAGAAAGACTGGAGATTCAATCAAATACAAAAATTACCTTGGTTCCCTTACGTTGGAAATATTCGAAATCATCATTGGCGACTGTGGTGACGGAACAACAGCTCCTGCTCCTGCTTCTGCAAGAACTCATAGTGTCAAAGTCACCGTTCTCTAGATCACAACTCTCGTCGTCGGAGCTGTCGTATCCATCGCAATGTCCCTGACTATCTCGTCTCTGAAGGAGATTCTGATGAAGATTCTGTTGAAGACCCTCTTTCGCGTGATCGCCCTTCTTTAAATTGTAGGTCCTCGTGTCGAGCATAGATCGGTGATATCTAAAATAATATAAGATTTTATAATAACCTAAGGGCCTAGTCTATTTTAGAGAGTAAAAAAAATCATTTTTTAAAAATCTGAAAGTGTGATGTCCGAAGAATGTCTTCTAAATTTTATTGAAAATTTCGCAAAATTGACGGAGTTATAACACTTTGAATAGGATGACTTTACCTTGAAATGAGCCTGAAATAAAATGGGTCGTGAAATAGGTAAACTTTAAACGCATTTTTCTCGAAACACTGTTTTCAAAGTTGGTGTGACGGATATCTTAAAAATTAATGAATCAAATGTCGCAATACTTTTTTAAATAAAAGGGGACACTTTTTTGAGGATAATGAATCTAAATAAAATTTAAAAAATTAATAATTAATATTATTCTAATCTTTAAGAAATGAATAAATTTCAGCAAAAATAAAATATCTAATTTTAAAACTTAATTTTAATTTTGACACTATTATGTTATTTTTCAATTTTCTCTAATAAAATTAAATTCAATATCTTATTAATATCTTACAGAATAAAACTAGATCGAGTTTATTCATTTCAGACAATTACACGAGGAGCAACATGTCACACCATCGCCGCGTCGAACAATGCATTTTCGAACACACTACGTGCAGAGACTCGCATTAAAAAAAAAAAAAAAATCTTAATATCCATGATTTAAAAATGTTGACGTACTATTTATCAATAAAAACATATATAAAACGCTAAAAAGAAATCAATTTCTAATAGTCTTCAAAAAAATTCCTCAAAATTATCAGTTTTTCATATTGTTAGAATAGATTGAGCCGTTAGTACATACGCGAGAGAGAGAAAAATGCACATTTATTTATTATATTTATAAAATATATCAGGAATTATAAGATATTTTTTAAAAATAATTTGTATTGTAGATATCAATTGAAAATCATGTCGATGAATATATTCTGACGTTCATCCTATATATTAGAATTGATGAAAGAAAGGCTGCGCTTGACACGAATGTAGGTCATGCCGCGTGTATGATGCACGTCGAAACGCGCATTTTGAATAATTTATAAGAAACTTGGCGTCTCACTTTCTATTCTGCACTCTTCTGCTGTACATGTCGTGACGACGGCTTAATGGCACCGGTAAAAGTGAAGGTGTACGCCAAAAGGTGCGCACTTTGCGAGAGAGCAAAGTCGATCAGTTCGAAAGCGATAGATACCTGGCGTGGTCGAAGCTTTGATTTCTGCGTAGAAGGTTTCTAGGATAATGCTGATCCTGCAAACCGCTCTCCAGTCCGGCGATCAGACTCTCGAGGCCCAGGACGCTCCTCGCGTGCCGCCTGAACGATTCCTCGCGAATTTCGTTCTTGGTGACCTGGTGCTTCCAATTGCTCGCGGGGTCCTCGAGCTGCACCAGGTTCTCCATGTTCTGCCCAAAAACATCGGTGCTGCCGATCTTTCTACGATTACCAGCGAGCTCGTGCAGACTCTCATTTGGTCTCGGTCGTCTGCTATTATACTGCTGCTGCTGCGATTCCGTCGGGTTTCTCTTCGACGACGGCTCGGGAATCTTATCCTGACGCGGCTCGAAGGTCGAACTCGTCAAAGACGACAATTCCGCCGGCAGGGATGCGTAGTTGCCGTCCTCGTTCACGGGTTGCGTCCTGGGATAATGCTGCTGAATTCCCATGTTGATCGTGCCGGTTTTCCCTGGGAATAAAATCGATCACGATCGCGAATCTTTTCATCGATATCGAGAGGAAAGGAGGGGGGGGGGGGGACTTACTTGACACACTTGACTCGTCAAAGTTAATAATGGAAGGGAAACTGTCACGATTCGTGAAAGCGCCGCTTTCGGGAATATTGAAACATTTTCACATTACAGTGACCTGATAATATCCGATATACACTGGGCATGGTGGGTGATGGTGGTGGATTAGACACGCGGTTACGAGCGCGAAAGATGGTTTCCCCTCAGACTTTCTAACATGCCGAGAGGCTCTCGGCGAGCGCATTAACGAGGCGGCGCGAAACCTCGCAATTAATGATATATAAGCCGGGAGGGAAAACTATCGGTCGATCGAAACATTTTAAGCATCGTTAAATCCCGCTGACATCCGCTCGCTCGCTCACCTCTGTTCTGATGGCTGTGCAACCGTCCGTAGAGGCTTCCGTTGGTCAGGGGGAACTTTAGCCCGTGATTCAGGTTCAATTGTAGCTTATACTCGGTGTCCTGCTCGAAGTGTCGAAATTTACCGTCTATACCGCCTGAAAGAGAAATTCCAGGGAAATTCTATTAAATAGAAAAATTTTGTTCCGAAATCTTCTTCGATTGCGACAGATAAAAAGTTTAATAAATGAAAAAAAAGTATATATTTTTTTCAAAAAATCAATTTTAAAACAACTATTGAGATTATGTCGCTATATTTCGATAGATTTTACTTTTCAATATCGAATTGATGTAGATGAGGAAAATTAGAAAGTGTTGCGAGAAAAGCAAAGTCACGTTGATCCGAAGAAAATTGTGGATTGTGAGAGAATTACACGTGAAATCGCGTAAATTGCTGCGTACATTTTGCAGCAAAATGAAAATACGAACGCGCGTGGTTAACGAGAAAAATTGCCGGGCAGGAACCACGATTATTACACGATGGGCGTTTTACTTTCTCACGCGTGGGTCAGTGTGTGTTTGCTTAAACGAAAGAATGGAAATCGCGGTGTCCTCGTGCACGTTACGACACGCGACATAGTTTGCGCGAGACCTTCTGCTTCCGCGATAGGAAAAAAAAAAAAGAAAAAATAAGAAAATGATACGAACCGTGCGATAGCCTTCTCACGTGATCCTGCTTCGTGTACACCTTGGCCACGTATCGACAGAACATCTTGTCGAAGAGAGCCAGGAAAACTGGAAGCAGGGTGTCCTTCATCAACGGGAGCCACGTCGCCAGATTCTGGGGCGTGCAAAAGTTCTTCAGGAGGTTCGGTCTGATGGAGATAATCTAGGAAGTTGCGTCGTCTAATTAATTTCATATCCCGCTGATTAATTTTATGTGGAGATAATTCTGGATCGAATTCATATACAGTCATCAATTTTATAATATCAGGTAATGTAATAACGTGTATTATATATAGACATTATATATAGTATAATATCTTGATCATCGATTACGCTGAAACGTTTAATAACGCCCATCGAGCGCGGTAATCATTAAACGAATGTTGCCATTATATGGTTGAATACATATAAAGTAGAAAACGGTATATCCCGGCAATATTTGTTGCGAGCACCGTATATAATGCAACGTAATGCAACGTCTGAGTATTTTAGATCACCGCGATGGCGGACTTTTTCCTCGCGCTAATAAATTTCACCAGAAATCGTGTCAAGAGAAGATACTGTGTTCAGAAATCAGGTCCAGCTTTCGCCGTAGAAGAATGCTAATCGCGTATATGTCGAATGTTCGAATTGGGTCGATTACACGCGACTAATCGTGCGATGCGCGCGTAGAAAATAAAGAATCGCAAAAGAAAAGCCGAAAAAGTTTATTGTGCCGGTATCATCTTCGCAAAAAAAATATGAATTGAGAGAGAGAGACAGAGAGAAAAAAAAAAGAAAAAATGAAAAAAAACTTTCGATTTTAATCACGAATTCGTGCGGTGAAAATATCCGCGGTCGCGCTTTCAAAACTACGCGCACGATACGCAATTTTACGTGAACTGTACGCGCATGTGTAGGTACGCGAATCGCGTCATATCGTCGATTATTACAACGTCGTTCAAAAGTACACGAGCGATTGGTGATATATCCTGAATTATCAGTATGCGCGAGGTCTCCTCGTTGCATGCTTTTAAGAAAATCTTTCATTCGTGTTACATTTCAAAACTGTAGAAATTTTTTCAACTGTGTGAATTATGATATCTTATTTTCAGATGATTACGAGCAAGTTTCGCGTTATAAAAGATAATATTTCATTCAATATTTTTCATTTGTAATATAAATGTTTAGTTTACATAATTATAGAGCTATGTAATACAGTGTTAAAGGCCCAGCCTACTTTAGAGGGTCCAAAATATTGATTTTTTTACATTTTCTGAAAGTATGATGTGTAAAAAATATATCTTTCAAATTTTATTGAAAAATTCGCAAAGTTTACAGAGTTATAAGACTTTAAGTAAGATAGCGCGCGAATTTTTAAATGGGTCTGCAAAGCTTTAAACGCGTTTTTCTCGAAACACTGTTTTCAAAGTTGGTTTGACCGATATCTTAAAAACTAATGGATCGAATAACCTTAATTTTTTTTAAATGAAAATGAAAGAAAAAACTTTTTTAGGAATATTAAATTCAATCAGAATTTAAAAAAACTAATATTTAATATTTTTTTGACTTTCAAGAAATGAAAAAAATTCAGCAAAATTGAAATATTTAATTTTAAGATGACACTACTTTGTTATTTTCATTTTTTTCTGACGGAATTAGGTTCAGTATCTCATAAATATCCTACAGAATAAAACTAGACTGAATTTATTCATTTCAGACAATTACACGAGAAGTCATATTGTCGAGTTATGCATTTTCGAACACGCTACGTGCAGAGATTTGTATTGAACAAAAAAGTTAAATATCCGTGATTTAAAAATACTGATGTACTGCTTAAACATCGTTAAAAACATATGTAAACCGCCAAAAAAATTAATTTTTAATATTCTTAAAAAAAAAGTTCCTACAAATTATCAATTTTTCATACTGCTAAAGTAGACTGGGCTTTTAAATTTATATACACTTATCAGTTTTATAATATCATATATAACGTAATGATATTGTAATATATAAATTTTACTTATGAATTTTTGAAATGTATAAGTAATTGCACGAAAAGAGATTGGAATATATATGTCTAGAGGTAGAGTTAATATATGTCTAGAGATTGGAAAGTGTTTCGCTTTCAAAATAATCTATTCGCTAAATAATTTGCTTCTAAATAATTGTGCGCGTTTACATGTATTTACGCTATTTCGGACAAATTCCTAAATCTAGATAATCAAAATATCGTTAATTATCGTAAAGAAAGGCCTTCCTTTCAGTTTGCTATCGCGCTTTTGCTTCGCACTGTATATTTTTCTCTCGCCCGGGCAAGCGATATAACGTGCGGTAGTACTTGGTTACGTGAATAACGGCCGGTCTGATCCGTGATATGAAATCGAAACTAGTTGTATATACCTTAATTAGAGAATAGAGCGGCACTCTCTATATAATACGCCCTGTGCACGCGTATCATACATATGTGTGTAAGGTGCATACGCAACTCTCGACCCCGTCTCTCTCTCTCTCTCTTTCTCTTGAACGTATATATCTCGCTTCGGTTGGCGCGCGTTAGTTGCCACAACCATAAATTTTCTGTTATATTTCACTTCCTTTGATTAATTCCCTTGATTTCTATCAATATGTATGCGCGTGAATTTGTTTTCACAAAAACTCATGTCTCATATAATTGTTATATACATATGTATCACGCAATGTGTAACACTTTATTAGACCTTAAAATATCAGGAAGTAGCGGCAAAAAAATTAAAAATTATCCATTTTATATGATCTCGTGATCGAATTGATGCAATAGTACTTTATTAGACCTTCTTATATTATTTATCTTCTTATTAAATA